GCTATGGTGTGCCTTACGGAGGACACACGTGTGTTAGATAGAGAAGCTTCGTTCAGGCATGAGTTATAGCGCTTTGGCCATGAGTTCAGTGTTGATGAATCGACAATATGTATTAACTAAGGTGTCTTTAAGCAGCACCACACATGAAGCAAGATTTTGCATAGATTGGTTGACAAAAGCGTTCTGACCAGGAGCTCGCGGTAACTTAACACTGTCTCCCCTAGGAGCAATAATTTAGTATTTGCTAATTCAGGGTTCTCAGTGACTTCCTAGAACCTAACGACCACAAATAACAAGAATCGACTATGGTTACTTTCCTTTTGTCACCTGCTAGACTGTAAGATATTTGCTCTTAAATATTTTTCACAAATTCAATTCACACCTGCAACCACTTAGCAGAGTTTGTGAGCGCCAATGAGGCTGGATGTGACTCAGTTTACACATGTACGGTTGCCGTGTGGCTCTCTCGTGATTGCAGCGTGCTGTCCCAGGGATTACCATGACAGTGCTGGGGCTGTGAACAGTTGGTGTAACAAGCTCGACTGTGTCTTTCAAAGGCAGAGCCTGTAAGGTCAGACTAGTGGGCAGTGAAGCCAGCAAACTGCTTACGTGCAACCATTTACTGGGTAGATCAGAGTTTATACAATTGCGTGTTGTTTACTCCTTAAACCTAGAGAGGATCAGTGGTCAACCCTGAGTTTAAGAGCTTAAGAATTACAAGCTTAGACCATGTAGTTTTCTACCAAAAAATAAAATAAAATAAGCCTCCTCACTGGATTTCCTCTGCATAATTGTGCTCTTACCAAGACAAAGGAAAGGGAGACAAGAGTGTGTCCATGTTGAGCTGGTCATGGGACTCTAGTGGATGTGACCTCTTCTCTAGGTGAATTCGGTGAGCTACTCCAAGTGTCAGGAGAACTTGTGACAACCCTTCATTTCTACCCTCTGCATTTCTGATTTTTAAGTGTGTTTTGCTTCCCGAATCTGTGCCGAGGTGGAGCGAGCCACTGTTTAGGTCAGGATATAAGCACACACGTGGTCATGTGTTTATGACTGTCAACTTCCTGCATCATCTGCTACCTGAAGGGCTGTACACTCGGAGTTAAAATTCAGAGGGTGGTTTTGTTTTTTTTGGTCTCCCACCTCTGCCTCTGCTCTAGATGGATAAATTACATGTAATCAATAATTTTAATTTTCATAGCCACATGCATATTAATTGTATTCAGTTTAAACCAAAAAAAAAAAAAAAAAAAAAAAAAAAAAAAAGATACCTCATAAAACCAGTTCGGTTGCTACTGTTTGAACCAAGGATGAGGAAGCTGGTGTTGGACACTGCAAAGAGCAAATGTACGGTTAGGTGGCTCCTGGGTGATTTCCATGAGTACAGTCTG